CTACTCCCTCACTTCACTGGTGGGACATGACAGCAGCTTCATGATTTCTGTTAGAGCCAGTGGTATGATTGCACATATTTCTTGACTCTGTCCCTAGCTCTGTGACATCCAGGCTCTCCCATAAATTCTGAAAGCAACCTAATAACCCATAATAAACTTCTTTCTTCATAAACTGTCTAGTTTGGTGTAGAAGTAAAACTTAGTGTAGAAGTAAAACCTTGCCCTGCTGCAATATGGAAAAAGATGCACATTATGTCCCACAGTCAGGAAGAAAAACAACAAACACTTGGTCTCTGAGCCTCTCTCTTCCCCCAAAATAAAGACACATTAAAAAGACTCAGGCTCAACTCGTGTGGCTCAATGGTTGAGTGTTGACCTATGAGCCTGGAGGTCACGGTTCAATTCTCGGTCAGGGCCCATGCCTGGGTTGCAGGCCCGATCCCCAGTAGGGGGCGTGGAGTAGGTAACCAATAGATGTTTCTCCTCACAATAAATGAAATCTTGAGCCTTTTCTGTAAGTTACTGACTCCTAATAAGAACTTCATTGCTTTCTAACTTTATTGACTTTTGCAATGCTGATAGCTGAAGATATGATACAATCTTTGAGGTTATAACACTAATGTGATTTAAATACTACTTTTTCCCCACAATAAACATAGTAACTGTAAACTTGGTAATCTCACAGTGGCTTTCTTTTAAATGCTTGTTTTATATTTGACAAGCAAATCCTGAACTCCTTGCAGTTCATCTCAACAACTAAAATGTTTTTATTTTATTAAATGTTTCTGTAGCTGTGTCTTCTTTTGACAATAGGCTCTGTTGTTTGCAACTGAAAAATCTGATGAGTACTGGAAGGGAGGCTGACCAATGAATGTGCACTTGTTTGGGAAAAGCTGTGCTGTTTGGGGGAAAAGGGTGTGCTATAAAATAAAAACAGAAAATTTCCCTAAATTATTTCATAACAGAGGCCCAGTGCCTGAATTCGTGCACGGGTGGGTCCCTAGGCCTGGCCAGGGCTGATCGGGATCGGGCCAATCAGGGCCGGGCCGACTGGGGCCTGCTAGCAGGGGGGAAGAACAGGGAGAGGGACCGCGGGAGGTTGGCTGGCCGGCCGGCCGTGGGGAGGGACCAGGGGAGGTTGGGCAGTTCCTACATTGAGCATCTTCCCCCTGGTGGTCAATGCGCATCATAACAACTGGTCAACCAGTCGTTTCAGTCATTCAGTTGTATCGGTCAGTTAGGCTTTTATATATATAGATAGACTAGAGGTCCTGTGCACAAATTCACGCATTGGTGGGGTCCCTCGGCCTAGCCAGTGATCAAGGCCTATGGGGGGCAGGGACGCCGGCCAGCTGCGAGAAAGACCCCGGGAGGTTGGCCAACCGGTCCCCCAAATTGGGGCCTTTCGGGGGGGGCCAGCCAGGGGAGGGGCTGTGGGCAGTTGGCAGGCTGGCCCCACCCCCAATCAGGGGGGGGGAGGGCTGATCAGGGGCAGGACCAGCCAGGGGGAGGGACCGTGGGAGGTTGGAGGGGACCAATCGGTGCCTGGACTGGCTGGTTGGCCACCGCAGTGCACATCATAGCGACTGGTTGGTCTGGTCGTTCCAGTCATTGCACTGTTCTGGTCCTGGGCTTTTCTATATAGAATAGATATTGATTTCAGAGAGGAAGGGAGAGGGAGAGAGAGACATCAGTGAGGAGAATCATGGATCGGGTGGCTGCCTCCTGCACGCCCTACTGGCGCAGCAGCCCGCGGGGGATGTCTACTTTCCAGCAGGGAGCAGGCCTAAGCTGCATGCGGACATCCTTAGTGCTGCTGAGGAGGCGGGAGAGGCTCCCACCACCACCACTGAACTGACAGCCATCAGCCTGGCCTGTGGCTGAGCAGAGCTCCCCCTGTGAGAACCCACTGACAACCACGGGGCAGCTCCTGCATTGAGCATCTGGCCCCTGGTGGTCAGTGTGTGTCATAGTGACCAGTCATTCCCAGTCTTTCTGCTGTTAGGGTCAATTTGCATATTACCCTTTTATTATATAGGATGTTATTATAACTGAATAATGTGGTATATGTTATAAAGTATAAACCCCTCCATAAGTGTAAGGCTGATTGGTAGTAACCATGTTGGCAGGTAAGTCAAGGGTACCTAACATTGCACAGGAAGCACCCATCTGTCATTAGCAAAACTCTCCTTGTCCTTGCTCATTAAAAACCCTCTGTGGCCTTCATCAATTCTGCTCAGTGGATAGAGCACTGGACCATGGACTGAAGGGTCCCGGGTTTGATTCCAGTCAAGGGCATGTACCTCCATTACAGGCTCAATTCCCAGCCCCAATAGGGATGTGTGCCCCCTTCCTTCCACTCTCTCTAAAAATCAATGGAAAAATATTCTCGGGTGACGATTAACAAAAAAAATCCTATATAATAAAAGGCTAATATGCAAATTGTCCCCTTGGGAGTTTGGGAGACTGGGAGTTTGATCGCTTGCTATGATGTGTGTTGACCACCAGGGGGCAGCATGGAACATGGCGGGCGACCAGCAGCAGGGGCAGGGAGCTACGGGATCGAGGGAAGGAGGAGGCAGAAAGGCCAGCAAACCTGATTAGCCCTGATTGCTGTCCAGGCCTAGGGACTCTATCCATGCATGAATTTTGTGCACCGGGCCTCTAGTAAATAAATAAAGGCCCTCTGAATTTCATAAAGTGTCCACAGGTAATATCTACCTACATGAAGGGACCATCATTGGAAATCAACATCCTTCAGTTCTCTTCAGCTTCCTTCCTTTGAAGTCCAAATCACTACTTCCTTTCTCTTCAGTTTAAGACAGCACATTGCCCCAATTGCCTGATCTGTCCTCAGCTCCCTTATTCTTACAGAACCATTGTTTGTACATACATAATAAATTTTGGTATTTAGCCCTGTTAATATGTCTCATGTCAATTTGATTAGACCAGCCAGAAGTACTATGAAGGAAATGAGGGGAAAAATTCCCCCTTTCCCCACAGAACTATTTTCAAACAATAGAGGGCCTCTGGACATCTCAATGAAAAATTCTAGAGAATAAAGGAAGTATATTTGAATTTATTTAAAGAAAAAAAAGAAGGGCTCATTCATCTACACTACGGGACAGTGAAAAACAAGTAAACTAAATTAGAGTCATATAATATTCTAGATACTATTCCACCCTCCATTTACTTTTCAACCTTATAGATTCTTCCATGATAAATTTTTTTATTCCTAATATGTGCCTTTTTCCTAATATTTTGAGCTTCATAAAACCATACTTACAAGTTTACTTGCCTTGTAACTGCACATGACTTTGGAACTTAAGCTCTGGGCCTCAACTGTCTTTACCAGGAAGATTCAATTACATAGATATGTTTGCATGCATCAAATCCTCAGAGAACAATGAATCAAGAATACCAGTAAGTAACAAGTACACAGGGCTATGTTTAGCTAAGCTTTTAAGGAAACCACAGATGCCTTTCACTTTTGCACAAGTTCTCTGATCTTTGATTTCTAGACATTTAAACATATTTATTCTTTTTTTCTGAATATAAAAAGGAACAAATGAAATTCTCTTAGGAGGACCCAAGTAATGTGGAGGGGGGAAAATATGTCCCCCTAGGCCAAGTCAAACATAACCAAGATCAAGGGGAAAATCAAGTCTCCTGTTTAGAGATAGCCACAAAAGCAGTTTTTGCATGTCAAAGTGCCATGTAGAAAGAGATGAAATAAGGGCATTCATAAAAACACACTCACCTAGACATAGTCACACTGAGGTCTACTACTGAAAATGCTCTCATAACAAAAAGTAGAAGACAAATATTATGATAGAATGGGACAGGATGATGACAATCAGAGAAATTATGAAGGGAAATTTCAAACACTTAAAATTCTTCCATTGCCTTTTTTATGTCAGTTATTTTGGTTTCCATGGAAATTCATAGCAGTCTACAAATAAGTAATCTATGATTGCTTCAGGCCATAAGAATCACACATAATCACAATCTTTTTACATCATTATAAATGCCACATCAGAGAATTCGCATTTGAAGGGAAGCCACATATTTACAACATGTGCAAGAAGCTTCAACAGAAATGAATACTGATAGTATCATTTATTACTTAAAAGAGTCGCTACCAGAAGTGCTGATAACTCTCACACCGGGAGACACACGTTTTTTTTTTACTCATTTCAATTCAGTGCCGTTTCCTTCTCCCAACAAGCATAACTAAACCTGTTGAATGTGGTGTTTTGTGTTTTTTTATCCTGTCTTTATTCTATACTTCAAACAAAACACAGGTAGAGAAATAGACTGAGGTTTGTTTTGTTTTGGTGTTCATCAATATCTGAAGGCAACAAAGTTCAACTCCACTGGGTTGTTTACCAGCAGGTCGATGTTCCGAAGAAGCCAGCCATAAGACGCGCAAAATACGGCTCTTTGAAAATAATTTTACATACAGGGAAGAGATGAGAGCGGGAAACACATCCGTCATCAGCAACCCAACAGAAGCCTTGTTCCCCGCTATTTGTAAACATGGGCTCGGGGCAGCGCTCCGCCCGGGGAACTCGATAAGTAAGGCAGTGGTTCACATCCTTGGCTGCACATTAGAATCACCTGGGAATCTTTTTAAAATCCTGATTTCTGGGCCTCCGGAGGCCCAGGTGATTCAAATGTGCAGCCAAGGTTGAGAGCCACTGAAGTAAGAAATGCTGGGCACGACCCTGCGCGCATCCCGAAGCGTTCCGCAAGGGCGGCCTGGGGAGGCTGACCTCCGCCGGCACCAGGCACGGTCCTGGGCTGAGAGAAAGCCCCACGGGACAACCCTTCGGCTTCCAGCGTGGGGCGGGAGTGGACCGTGCCTGCTGAAGTTTCCCGCAGTTCCCCCGACCTTCCTCAACCTCCTTAGACTACCTGCACTCGGCCGTATGGGGACCGGATGCGCGCCTGTGCCCTCGGGGCCAAGCCCGCGGGAGGCGCCCCGGCAGACGGCTTACCGAGCAGCGAGCCTACGAAGATGACGACCTGCACGGCGGTGGTGAAGTGGCGGTACAGCTGCGCCTCGCCCAGCTCCCCGAGAGCGCTGCTGCGGTTGGCGCCCGCCGCCTCGGCGCCCGACGCGTTGCGCGGCTCGCTGGCGTTCCGGGAGACCCAGCTGCCGTTGTGCCC